GAGAGAGAGAGAGAGAGAGAGAGAGAGAGAGAGAGAGAGAGAGAGAAGCCTCAAACCCCACCTCTAGTGACTCACCACCTCCAACAAGGCCACACCTCCCAATCCTTCTCAAACAGTGCTGAGCATTCAAATAAATGAACCTCTGAGGGTCATTGCTATACAAACCACCACACCTTCTTAGTCAGGGTTTCTATTGTGATGGAAACACCATGACTAAAAAGCAAGTTGGGGGGAAAGGGTTTCCTCGGCTTATACTTCCACAGCACTGTTCCTCACTGAAGGGAGTTGGGACAGGAACTCAAGCAGGGCAGCTCCTGGAGGCAGGAGCTGATGCAGAGGCCAGGGAGGGGAGCCGCTTACTGGCTTGCCTTCATGGCTTTCTCAGCCTGCTTATAGAACCCAGGACCACCAGCCCAGGAGTGGCACCACCCACAATGGGCTGGGCCCTCTCCTATGAATCACTAATTAAGAAAATGCACTACAGGCTTTCTTACAGCTGGATTTTACCAAGGTATTTTCTCAACTGAGGTTCCCTCCTTTCAAATAACTCTAGTTCGTGTGTCAAATTGTCATAAGAATAGCCAGAACACTCGCCCGTGTAATAATTCCACCAATGTGTTAGAAATGTATGTTTTTTTGTTTGTTTGTTTGTTTTAGTTTTTCAAGACAGGGCTTTTCTGTGTAGCCCTGGCTGTCCTGGAACTCACTCTGTGAACCAGGCTGGCCTTGAACACAGAGATCTGCCCATTTCCTGAGCTCTGGGATGAAAGGTGTCTGCTGCCACCTCCGGGTCAGAAAATTATCTTGATTTATGACTGTCTGTGCTTTGTTACTATAAAAAACCTCATGACACTGCTACCAGGCACTGGAATTAAAGGCATATGCCACCACACCCAGCTACTCTATTTCCTTCTTTCTTTTAAACACATGGTAAACCTTTAGAGGTTGTTCTTCATCTGAATCTGTCTTTACTGTAAATCTTTACCTTTTTCTGGCCATGCAATCTTTTATCCATTAAACAACTCTGCCAAAATTAAAATAGCGGCTTTCTTAGCAATATGGCAGAGGTATGATTACCATCAGCTCTGAGAGCTGTGCTCACTGCCTTGGTCTCTGCTGCCATCCAAGCAGGCTGCCGGCTTGGAGATGTGGTCACTGCCACTGCCAGCTGTGTGGGGCACGAACACATGACCCTGAGGTTAAGAGTCTCTTGCTCTACTGAGTGAGCTAGCCAGGCCTCTTAAAAGGAGCCCTGCAGTTTTTCCCACTTATGCTGAGTCAGGAAACCTCTCTTAAAAGAACTGCTTGTCTCTAGCAAAACAGATACCACCCGAGAAAATGCTGCTACCAAGAAGTGGTGCTTGTCTCTGTCCCTTTGCTTCTAAATTCCCTTTTTAAGCTTTTGTGAAGTTTACATGGAAGTTTGTAACACTACCGACAGCTGCCCGGGTTCTGCCGACGCTTGACTAGTCTCGGGAAGGTGGCTTGAGAGCACAGAATCCTAACCTAACCCCTAGAACTCTCGAGGACTGCAGGCCAGGAATGCTGGGTCCAACCCCCAAGAGCACAGGACAGCAGGAGCATATGGAAGCTGCTCTGGATGCCACTTGACAGGGTCGGATGCTGGCAGCAGGTTCCCGGCTTCCTCTGGGAACCTTGGGACGTGGGGTCATCCCACTCACTGACACCATTCTGTAACGATAAGTCTTTCCACCAAGCCGCCCAAGCCCTGGTGCCCAATGTGGCAGAAAGATTTATGGTTACAACCAGGTTAGAACATAGAATTTTCGGTGATGTAAATCCGTGTTCCTGAGCGGTTGTCACGCATACCAGGCTCCAGAATAACCTGTGCTTTCTCCCTTTGAGATGAGAGCTGTGTTTTAGCATCAGTACACTCAACAAGACAAAGGTTTTAACGATGAAGAGGAAGTCTCCACTGGGCATCTTGAAACAAACAGTATTGGCCATGGGTCTTTTGCAGAAGCAGCTATTAACAGGTTGGTGGAGTTGTCCAGAGTTAGCCATGGCTGTCTTTGTGCAGCTGGCTCATGCCGGATACTACAGTCTGAGCACTGTCTTGTACAGTTCCCATTCCAGAGATGCATGCATGTGTGTT